TGAAATAAATCCATCAAAAACTTAAAGCAAAATCCATCCACCCTCCGCAACAGTTTGCCGGGGCGGATAAATTAAAATTTACTTCAGCTCACAAAAGAGCTAAATGCCTAGTCGAAAATATCACTAGGATCCATTCTCAAACAATCTATTGCCAGTAAGGACGTGGTACGTGTCCTCTAACCGGCAGTTTCGCCGCCAAATGGCACTGCAGGTAAACGGTTATGACCCGGGGCCCTCTGAACCGAGTGGTTTTGCCGTAAAATGGCACCACAGATAGCGGTTATGGCCAGAGCCAATATGCTCCTTAATGGCGTTAAATCCTTGAGATATGAATCAATAGGATATGATTGATAGGGAATAAAGCCCTATGTTAGCTAAGGTGGATTCAAATTTGTCCCCTTAGACAAACATTCAACCCCGGTCTACAAGGTTCCCTTGGACGAAGCAACCCATGGCTGCCGACAAGGATCCTTCTGTCAGGTTGGGTCGACTACCTCCTCTGACTAAGTAGACCAGGGACCACGATGGCCCGGGACGACGGAACCATGGGATCTTGATCGGGCCCATCATCCATTCCCCCACCATCCGCTTTAAGTACAAGATGGTGAAAATTTCTATTTTAAATATCCTCAGGTAATTAACTATAGGGGCTTGCGCCTATAGGAAACCAGAACTCATATCATAAAGTCCTCACAAAATGAGGGTGAAATCTCTGGGTAGTGTCTTATCTACAAACCCATCTGCCTTCCAAAATTTACCCCGAAACTTAGTTCGTTAAAACTCCCCCGCTCAAGAAAAGCAAACAATCAGAGAAGCGCGGCGGGGAGGCCGGGGCCGAATTTTTGGAGCCCACAGAAATCAGGCTGCTAGGCCGCCTGGTCTCAGTGGAAGCATATACCTCAAAATTAATAAAGGATTTAGGATAGTAAATTTGTATTTACTCATGCACTCTTTTTTAATTTTTCATTTATCTAAACTTGTTGATACCTGATGTTCAAAAGGTTGCATAAATTAGGGAACTAAATGTATACCAATGAATACCTATGCAGGTGACTTACATGTTATATTTTGGTTGAGCGATAGGTGGACAACCTCCACTCTCAAAATAACACATTTGAGGGACTCACTCAGGAGCTAGAAGGAGCTTAACATTAGAGCACAACAGATCAGGAATGGTCACATCCTCCAGGAAGTCTTCTCCCTATGGAGGTAAGACAACCTCATAAGTTCATCTCTCAGCTAGACAAATCTTTATCTATCTAAGCGTGAGCTAAAACTCTAGAAAAAAGAGACATCCTTTTCCTCTTCCAAAAACTTCTTGAACTCTTTTTCTCCATAGAATAACATATGTCAAAAATACTGTGAAGAGGGAAAATAAAGCAAAAGATTTATAATCCTCAAAGTATTATATTACTTTTCTTATATAGCTCATGTTCCATAGTGTAGAGCTCATACTTTCACTATTCTTGTATTTTTGTCTTGGATAATAAAGATTTTATCTAAATGCGTCTCTTCCCTCTTTCCTTTCCCTATATTTGAATCTCATAAGGTGTAACCTGACTTGAGATCATCCACTAAATAAAGTGGTATTCAACACAATTAGTTTGCCTCTTGCGAGTCAATTTAAACTATCTACAACTCAATGCCCAAATTTAGATGAAGACAAAGAAAAAATGCAGAAAATTTCTTAGGCTAGTGTCATTTGGTCTCTCTTATGTATGCTATGATTTATTATAGCCCATATATTATTTTCTCTGTCAATATTTTCAGCGGATATATGTCTAATCCAATATTAAATCATTTAAATGCAGTTAATTGGTTACTGAGATATATTCAAGGAACTCTAGATATATTTATTTGCTTCAGATCAAGTCCTGTTGTTGTTGATGTTACATGTTTTGTTAACTCACTTACAGGAGATTTGGATGGAAGAATATTGACTATAGATAATATGTTTGTGGTGGGCCTGCCAGTTGGAAATCTCATTTGTAGTTTATTGTGGCATTATCATCAACAGAAGTAGAGTTTATTATAGTGACAGAGGCTGCGAAAGAATAAGTTTGGTTATAGGGTCTCCTAAGTGAGATTGGTATTTTCACAATGTCCTCACAATTTATACAGACAGTCAGAGTGCTTAATGTAAAAATCCAGTATTTCGTGAAAAAACTAAGCACATGGATGTCCGTTTTCATTTCATTCTTGACTTGGTAAATTCATCTGCACTGAATCTTATAAGCGTCAACAAACAACAATCTAGCAAACATGATAACCAAGGTAGTTTCTCTTAATAAATTTAGACATTGTCTAAATTTGCTAAATATGTGTAAGTAATTTTGGTATTATTTTTGGAAATTTTTTTTTATGTTAATTCTTTTATTTTAAACCAAGGTGGAGATATTTGATCCCAGAAAAAACCAATGGCAACAAAAAAGAAATGTAGAAACTGCTAGCTACCAACCATAAGAAAAACAAGTCCCAATTTTGATTGGCCTAGCTCAATAAAAGTTTGATCATATGTCACATATTAAATTTATGAATGATGCTCAAATGACTGGATAAAACTGCAAGATAAGTTAATAGCAAAAATCTTTGAAGCCTAAATAATTATCTTGATCAAATAAGCCATAAACTTGCTGAATGATCCAAGTTTGTGCCAAGCAGTTTTTTTGATATATTTATTTATTGTTTATATTTGAATCTAAGAATATTATAAGCAAATTAAACAAATTAATTCCTTTTATACAAAAAATTATAAAGATGTTTATGCAAAATAATGTAGTATATTTAATATGCATTTAGTGGCTATTTGGTTTAACATAAAATGGGTGTAAATTATCTCAAATGCAGAGATTTTGAGAATATTGATGTTTGTTTTAAAGTAAAATAAATGCAGTATAAATTTTTTGTGTATTTAGAATGCACAATCTAGTACAAATGTGACGTATTTGAAAATCATTAGATTTGGATAATTTTCACATATATCATAAATCTATCACCATTGCCACGACTAGTTTGGTACTTCTACTGCTACAGATCGACCTCTCCAGCTAGTTGCCACCATCGCCTGTCACCATCTTCTGCTAGCGACCTCCACCTTCCACTTGCCACCCATCACGATCGTGGCCAACTACTACCCGCCATCACCAATTGTCGTTATCCATCGCCATTGCTCGTCACCACCACCTATCATTGCCACCACCACCTTCCAGTTTCCACCCACGATTGCCGCCACCACTCACCACCTATAGCCATTTCCACCTCATCAACGTGTTGTTGGCCACCATCACTGTTAGTCGTTGCCCCCTATCTTCGACCACAACCATCAATGTTGGCTATCAACCAACACCATCTTTGAACTTTACACTTGTATTTATTTTATTTTAAGCTAAATAAAAAATAATCACTCGCATATATTTTACCCTCGTCAAAATAGCTCTAAATTATTTTAAATACAATGCATTCCTTTTTCATTGCATTACTTTTTTAGCAAACCAAATAAACTCTTAGTTAAAGCCAATTAGAACTTGACCTGGACTCTAGTTCAACAAAAAATTAAATCAATGAGTTTTAAAAAACTTATATGACTATCTTAGTTTTAATTTTGATTAAAATAAAATAAAATAAAATAAAATAAACAATACTCTTGTTGCGTCCTAGAATATTCGCGGCGGTAGAGAAATCTATAGTTTAATGTCTTAGCATTGTACGAAGATCCAGTACACATACATATAAAAAGAGAGAGTGCAGCACACCAAGATTTTTACTTGGAAAACCCCTTAAAAGGGGGAAAAACCACGGGGCCTAGCCCAGTTTGAATGAATCCACTAGTATTTGCAGTCGATTACAAATGAGGCCCTTCTTAGGGAGAAGGCCTTAGCTTGATGTTACAAATGTACGTCATATAGAATGCATTACATTATGGGAGTTACAATAATCAACATAGACATGTTTGTTTGGTTGGAAGGGTCATTGTCGGCAAGAGACAGAGGTCAAAAGGACCGTAGTCAGCAGGAGACCGGGGTCAGAAATACCGTTGTCTTGTGATGGAGGTCGGAGTGACCGTAATAGGCGACGGAGGTCGGAGGACCGTAGTCGGCAGGAGACTGGGGTTAGAAAGACCGTTGTCTTGTGATGGAGGTCAGAGTGACCGTAGTAGGCGATGGAGGTCGGGAGGACCGTAGTCGGCAGGAGACTAGGGTCTGAAAGATCGTTGTTGGCAGGAGACCGGGGTCTGAAAGATCGTTATATTATGATGGAGGTCGAAGTGACCGTAGTAGGCGACGGAGGTCGGGAGGACCGTAGTCGGCAGGAGACTGAGGTCAGAAAGACCGTTGTCCTGTGATGGAGGTTAGAGTGACCGTAGTAGGCGACGGAGGTCGGTAGGATTGTAGTCGGCAGGGCAATACTTCGGTAGAAATTTGGGTGTAAGGTGGTGGTCTGGCGGAGTCCGGACCTTAAGTGGTGGTCCGACAGAAGTCAGGGCCTCAGGTGGTGGTCCGGCAGAGCAACGGCGTCAGGCGGTGTCCGGTGGAGGTGAGGGCCTCAAGTGGTAGTTCGGCGGAGCAACGGCGTCAGGTAGTGGTCCGACGGAGGTGAAGGCCTCAAGTGGTGATCCGGCGGAGCAACGGTGTCAGACGGTGGTCCAGTGGAGGTGAGGGCCTCAAGTGGTGGTCCGGCGGAGCAACGTCGTCAGGTGGTGGTCTGACAAAGGCGAGGGCCTCAAGTGGTGGTCCGGCGGAGCAACGGCGTCAGGTGGTGACCCGGCGGTGGTCCGGCGAAACTCCGGCAGTGGTCGAGGAGGCAAGGAAGCAAGAGCGATCTCCGATCTCTCTCTCTCTTCCTTAGGCTTCGGGGTCCCCTTTTCAAGAGGAGAGGGGGCTCTATTTATAGATTTCTGGAGTGGCATGACCCGTAAATAGGTGAGAGATCAAGGGTAAATGGGGAGTGGTTGGATGGACGGCCGATGTTGAATCCCTTGATCATGCACCGTTCTTTAAGCATTTGAAGATCTTAATGATGTCGGAATTCGGTGATCTTGGGCTCGTTGGATTCGTCTCGTCGAGCCGCTCGATTCGACTATAAGTTTGTTATGTTTGGAACCCGTTTGGTAATCCAAATTGTGGTTTGAACCTTCCAACAGCGCTTCGGGTCCTTGATTTGGACCCATTTGGGCTCGGATTGAGTCTAATTTGGTGTCGTTGGGTTTGTATTTCCGAGACGCTCAGTTCGACTATAAGTTTGCTGAAATCGGAGTTTGGATGGCCTCTGAATTAATTTTTGAAGTTTCCGACTTGATTTTGTTTCGAGATTCGTGCCCGATCAAGATAATTTTTAGATGACATATCAACTCTATTGCATTCTTATTGTTTATAATCCTTCCAACTTAAAATTGTATGTAATTTGGTTTAATTTGTCTTAATATTTTAAGTCAATTTTAGAGTTCCAAAGTGAGTTTAATATTATTTTTTATTTGGTTTCCATTTTTCCTTTGATTACTTATTACAAATATTCATAATTACAGGGTGTTTATCATCATAACATTGAATGAAAGATCTCACACACACACACACCAAAAAAAAAAAGTACAACTTATTAGAAACATTTAAATTCTTACTCAACAAATTCAACAAGAAAAAAAATCATAAAATTTTGTCCAATAAAATGATTCCACTAATATGAATCATATATTATAAAAATAATATTTTCTCATATATTGAAAAGACATTAATAAAATATAGTAGAGATGAACAACAAAATTATATTCTATGTTAAAAGCATGATTCTTGATATGTTTAAGTGGGAAATTAAGCAATCAAGTATATAAATGTTAATTGGTGGTACTTGTCCAACATCAAGAAGGTAATGGCCAAGTCTCTTTTGGATTAGCCCTAAATGCATTGAAACATTATTTATTCATAAATTTTTGGAGGAATTTTCCAATTATTATGTTGTAAATCAACACTATATTAGATGAATACAATTTTTTTTTTAATATTAGATGAATACAATTATTTATTTATTTATTTTTTATATTAGATGAATACAATTGAACCTCTTTGTCGAGTAACTTTTTAAAAGATCTTAGTATTGTAATGATATTAGAATTGAGTAATTTAGACTTATCGAATTCATCATATTGAGATGATTTTTCTAATTATAATTTGTATAAAATAGGTTTATATGATCCATTAATCGTATTAAATACCTTTAATATGAATATTCATAAAAGTTGAGAACTGAAAATTAAGACAAAATGCTTATTTGATCATAATTGTTTTGTTGTTGCATATCGTTAACAAATATAAAAAAATTATGCAATTCATGTATTCTTTAATAAATGTGATATTTTTGTTGCGGGCTAGAATATACGCAACGATTGAGTTAAAATAAGACGTCTTAGAGTTGTATGGATATCCAGCTCACACATAGAGAACACAAGGCTTTTTAATGGAAAATCTTGGAAAGGGGGAAAACCACGAGGCCTAGCCCAATTGAAAATGATTTTACTAGAATTTGAGTTGTGTATAGTGGGCTGACTCGTCCTTAAGGGTGATCAGAATACAAATGTGAACCGTATTGTTGCAGTCTAGTGACAAATGGGGATGAAAGTCCGACGCCACTTGGTGGTCCGACAGAAGTCCCGACGTCAGTCGGTGATCAGGTGGAAGTCTGGCGTCAAGTGGAAGTTCAGGGGACAATTGGTGGTCTGGCAGAACTCTGGTCGTCAGGTGGTGGTCCGGTGGAACTTTAGACGTTAGGTGGTGGTTCAATGGAACTTCGAGCGTCAGGTGGTGGTTCGATAAAACTCTAGCATCAGGTGGTGGTCCAACGGAACTTCGGGCATCAGGTGGTAGTCCGACCGAACTTCGTGCGTCAGGGGGTGGTCCGACGGAACTCTAGCGTCAGGTGGTGGTCTAGCGGAACTCCAGGCACCAGGTGATGGTCCAGTGGAACTCCAAAGTCAAATGATGGTCCGTGAAACTCCAGGCGTCAGGTGGTGGTCCGGCGGAACTCCAGGCTCGAGGTGGTGGTTTAGTGGAACTCCGACGTCAAGTGGTGGTCCAGCAGAACTCCGGGCTTCAAGTGGTGGCCCAACGGAACTCCGGGCATTAGGTGATGGTCCAATGGAACTTTAGGCGTCAGGTGGTGGTCCGACAATACTCCGACATCATTTAGTGGTCTGACCGAACTTCGGGTGTCAGGTGGTGGTCCGGCGAAACTTCGGGGAGTGGTCAAGTAGGTAAGACCAATCTCGGATCTCTCCCTTGCTCTCTTGCTTGGGAGTCTATTTTCATGAGGAAAAGGGGGGGGGGTCTATTTATAGATTTCTTTCAGTGGTATGACCAGTAAATAGGAGAGATCAATGGTAAATAGGGAGCGGTTTGGATAGATGACCGATGTTGAATCCCTTGAATGTGGACCGTTTATTGGGCATTTGAATGTCTTAGTAATATCAAAATTTAGTTATCTTGGACTGGTTGGATTCGTCTCGTCGAGCCGCTCGATTTGACTATAAGCATGTCATGTTTAATAAACCAAATTGTGGTTCAAACCTTCAAACATCACTTTGGGCCCTTAATTTGGACCCGTTTGGGCTCGGATTGAGTCAAATTTGATGTCGTTGGGTTCGTATTTTCGAGACGTTCATTTTGATTGTAAGTTTGCTGAAATCAGAGTTCAGATAATCCCAAATTTAATTTCGAAAATTATTAACTTGAATTTTGCCTCGAGATTTATGCCCGATCAAGATAATTTTTGGATGATACATAATTTAGTTGATTATCAATTAAAAAAATGAGAAATTATTAATTTTTTGCTTTCAACGTGGGTCTCCATACTCATCCAATATTAACCCTAACTAACCCAACGATTCCACACAGATCACCCCGGAGTCGCCAGGCCCCACCCAAACTGGTGTACATCTTCGAAAGTTTGAAATAGAGGAGAGAGAATATGAGGCAAAGTAGGGCTGCCCTTCCCAATTTCAAAATCGTTAATCCGTCCTCCGTCAGTCACCGCCGTAACACCATCCTACTGATCGCCGCATCCAACCTGCGCCAGCGGCGCGGAAATGAACCGTGCCGCAGACAATGACGGCGGCGAAGATGACGACGAAGCCGATCCTCCTTACTGCCTCTCCACGACCCTCACGCCGCTTCTCCAACCGCCATCGCCGCCATGGCCGCATCGCTGCAGCAGCCATCGCCTCCTTCCTCTCTCTCCTTGTCGCCTCAGCCGCCTGGTTTTCCCTAGTCTTCGACCCCAGCCACCGCTTCGCCATCAACCATTTCCGCACCTGGGATTCCTCAATCTCTGCCACCCACTCCCCTCCTCTTACCCCCTCTCATTCCCCTTCTCCTCCCCCTCCCCAGAAACCCGCCTCTTTAACCCCCTCTCCCAATCCCAACTCTAGTTCCTTCTCGCCGCTCTCCTTAAACCATATTGTCTTCGGCATCGCCGGCTCCGCCAACCTCTGGCCGCGCCGGCGAGAGTTTATACGCCTATGGTGGCGGCCTGGGGTGATGCGCGGCCACATCTGGCTCGACGATCGCGTGCGGCTGTCGCGGAATGCTTCGGCCTCCCTCCCGCCTGTCCGCGTGTCCGATGATATATCGCGCTTCCGATACACGAATCCTACCGGACACCCCTCTGGCCTTCGCATTGCCCGAATCATATCGGAGACCTTCCGGCTTGGGCACCGCGACGTGCGGTGGTTCATGCTCTGCGATGACGATACCATTGTGAGTCCCGATAACCTCGTGGCCGTTCTCTCCAAGTATGATTGGAGGGAAATGGTGTATGTTGGAGGACCATCGGAGAGTCACTCGGCCAATATTTACTTTAGCCATGCAATGGCTTTTGGGGGCGGGGGGATTGCGATCAGCTATCCTCTTGCCGAGGCTCTTGCTGGGATGCAGGATGATTGCCTTGAGAGGTATCCGAAGTTATATGGCAGTGATGATCGGCTTCATGCTTGTATCTCTGAACTTGGTGTTCCTTTAAGCCGTGAGTACGGATTCCACCAGGTTTGTTTCTCTATTTTCATTAAATTTCTACTATCTTTACGTTTCATTTTTCTGTTATGCCTTCCGCATTGTTCTTGCCAATGATTTAATGTATAATTCCCTTGTCGAATTTATGTATTTTCTTGTAGTGTTATGAAGATTGTTGGTTACCCGCAATTTGCTATATTTCAATTCTGATAATGTATATAATAATGAAGCAATAAAGCTTAGTCCTTTTGGAATGCATGTGTTCTTGAAATGAAGTTCATTGTAATAGATTTTGGTTTTTCACATGCTTATTTGATGCTGTCGTCTTCTTTCTCAGTGGGATATTAGGGGAAATGCGCATGGTATCTTGGCTTCTCATCCTGTTACTCCATTCATATCCATACACCATGTTGAAGCTGTGGACCCTCTTTACCCTGGTTTAGGCCATCTAGAGAGCTTGAAACTTTTCACCAAGGCATCACGGGTGAATCCCAGAAGCTTCTTGCAGCGTGCTATTTGTTATGACAGAGAGAAAAGGTTAACATTTGCTGTTTCATTGGGATATGTTGTACAAGTGTTCCCTAACATTGTACTCCCGAGAGAGCTGGAGCGCTCTGAGCTGACTTACACTGCTTGGAATAGAGCTGGTCACCGATTCGAATTTGATTTTGACACCAAGGATCCATATAGATCTGTTTGCAAAAAATCAATTCAGTTTTTTCTGAAAAATGTTTTTGAAGATGGAAGTGTCTCTGTTAGTACTTACACACGGTCTAATCAAGGCAATGATCTGAAAAGTAAAGTCTTTTGCTTTCCCCATTCACCTCCACTGCCTCATGTGGATGAAATTCGGATTTTGGGGAATCCATTGAGTGACAACTGGCATTTGGTTTGTTCCTTTTCTTTGCTTATTTTAAGTTCCTGTCTATCATAAGCTTATGCATTCTGAACTTCTTCAGTCCTTTCAATTGTGATTCAGGTGCCAAGGCGTCTATGTTGCAAAGTTGATCAAACTGTTAATCGAACTCTGTGGTTAAATGTAAGGCAGTGTGAAAGGAGAGAGCTTGGATCAGTTTCTGATTCTCTATTACCCTAAAGGATGCAAAATCTTGGGGTTTGCTCCTTGTATATGGTGAGATGTAGAGTTTTCTTGTGATGGCTTCTTGAGCTCCATTATTTCATCATTATTTCTTTTATTGACTATTGATTGGCCGATCACCTAGAATGAAAGAGAAAGTTTAAGGAGGTAGCTACTGGTTTTATACATGTACACTAAATGCAGGAACTTGTGTTTGTTAATTAGGTGAAGTATTCTTTGCCTTCAAATTTTACTTGGAAGGCTTTTTGTCATAATCAGCTTAAACAATTATTTATTATTAGAAACACATGAGTTGTAGTTTGCTCTTTGGGCATGAATATGTCTCTTATCATGTATATACTTGTCTTCATATAGAAGAAAAAATGTGCACCATTTATCTTTGTCTAGAACTGGTATTCTATTTCGTAAAACAGTTCTTGTTCAACATTTGCTAGGATTCCACTTTTATCACAACAATATGCACCAAGGGGAGTTGACTGACATGGCTGTATTATATGGAGGTTGTTCTTTAACTTATGATGATTGATTCTTAATGTTTTTTTATATATTTATGCTCTTCTATCCATATGCATTAATGTACATTATCATCGAGCCATCCTATTGTGTTGTATGTTAGAATTAGTTTGCTCTCTAGTAGGTAGTCTCCATGTTGACTATTTCATTCACAAAGAATAGCCCATCCAGTTTCTTTTGTATTTTTATTCTGTCCCCATTATTATGATTGATGCAAGCAAAAGTTAAGTAATAATAAATGGTCTCCATTTCATAGTTTGGCTATGGATTTTTGTCATTTCTTGTTGAAATACCCTTATCATATGTAGGGCATGCTCCAGCCAATATCTTTCGGTATGCTTAAGTTTGTTACGTGAACTTGATTCTATCTATGATACTATCTCATGTATCTTCAACAATAAATCAAATTAGGTAAGACTTTGAAAGATGATAATCACTCTCCTTATTGAGTAGTTTTTGTTTGGGGTTGTTCCATCAGAAATGCTCATTAATGAATGGACTATTGAGTGATGTTAGTCATGCCTTTTTGAAAAAGTGAATATCAATGTTTTTTTTTAATATGAAGGAGTGTCCATCTTTCCATCAGACTTTTTGTGCCAAAGTTGTTAATAGGCAATGTGTAGTACAACACAAAGGAGTTTGTTTTTCATTTTTTTTTAATTTTAAAGAAGTAAAATACATGACTTAGTTTGTTAAAACACAAATATCATAAGGAATATTACATAATGTTTTGCTATTTAAGGACCATCTTACAAATATTTATTTTGAAAAGATCAAGTAAAATTTTTATAATGAAAGTGATACCTTTAAGAAGAATTAGTGTGAAATGTTGAAGAATTTAGTGACTTAAGTAAAAGTAGGAAGAGTCAAAGATTTAAGGCAAAGTGTAGGAAAGTACCATGGTTTGAAGTCGAATGTTGGGTATGCATGACATCTTTTCTTATCTATGCTGTTTGTTTTAAGTTTTCTATGCTTTGCATCCCTTTTCTTCTGTCTCACATCTCATGATTGAGAACAAAAATCACAATAAATAATCTTAACAAGATACCAACTCACTAATTTGCAAAACAAAAAAAAAAAGAAGGAAAAAAGAAAAAAACCAACACTATTCCCATAAATTAATTGCAGCCCTTAATTAGACAAGGCTCGGGTCAGAGATGGAAGGATTAATTATTAATTATCCATGCTGCAGTTACCTGAACAATGTCTGTCAGATTTCTATAGCCTAACTACTGTTTGGTTCCAATAGGGAGCATTGTTGGTGACTGAAAGGTCCATGGTTGATCCAAGAATGCTTTATTGCTTTCAATAATCCTCTCCTGCAACAAATAACAAGAAGGGCATATGTTTACAAGAAAGAAAAACTATGAAATGGAGAAATAGGAATAAAGAACTTGATGGATCACTTGGAAATCTTGATTGTGTTTCCTGTGGCCAGGAGGAACTGTTAAAAGACTAAGGCATAATGCAAAGGAGGCATTTCAGTCAACCTTGCCCTATCTATTTTAGATGTTGGCTGGAGGGGTTGTTGAACTTGTTACCTGTGCTGAAATGGAGAAATGGAAACTGAGAACCTGGTGCATGATGGTTAGAATTTTGACTGTATTTCTTGTGGCCAGGATGAGCTACTGGAGGATCAAGGCAGAATGCAAAGGAGGCATTCTGGTCAGCTTGCCGGCTGGAATTCAGTCCAACAATGCAGGTCGAGTCCTTTCTCCAAGAACAGTTTGAAGCTGCTCAACTGCAGGGCAATTTGATGCAAAGATGGAAGGGTTATGCACGAGGAAGAGATAGGAGTTATTCGCAAAGTCTTGGACTCCACTATGATTTTTCACACCGCACCTCACCTCAAACTAGGGAATCCACCCTGTTTTCAGAACAACCTGAAATAAATTCTCTTAAAAAGACTCCTCCTTTTTCCAAATAAACATTAGCTATTTATAGGAAACCTACAAGACTAAAGAAAACAAGTAATATCTAAAATACCCCTATGCAAGAAAATGCTAATAAAAAAAGCAAAAAAGAAAAATACATGCAAATAAATAATTAAAATAATGATATTAGTAATAAAATAATCATGTCATTCTCCCCAGGTAGGGGAAGGTTCATCCTCAATGTCTAGTTTCTTCTCATAGTCATATTAAGTGAATGATTTGCTATACTAAAGGTGGCTGAATTGCTCATATCCCTTGATAACTCAATTTTATAGACATTTTTTCCTATACGCTTGATTACTTTTAATGGTCAATCAGCTTTTGGCTTAAGAAAAAGATTCATGGGAAAGCGCTCGTTACATTAATAAGTCCAAATCTGATCACCTTCTTTGAAATAAGTTGGAGTACAATATTTATTAGCTTGTTTCTGATATTGTGCATTTTATTTTTAATCATTTCTTGGATTTGCTTATACAATTTTTTCTAATTTCCACTGTTTGCTTATCGCTATCAAAATTATATTCTAAAGAGATCACCATGGGCGACAAGTCTGCAGGAGTAATGGGGTCCTGACTATAATGATCTCAAATGGACTTTGATTCGTAGTTTGCTTGATGGATCGATTTTTAAACAAATTCAGCCTGAGTCGAAGAAAGGTCTTATTGTTTTATGTTTTTTTTTCCCACAAAACATCTCAACAAGTTTCCCATACTACGATTGATGGCTTCTATCTGGCCATCCATCTAAATGTAATTCGTGAAGCTAAATTGAAGTTTAGAGCCCAACTTTCTCCATAGCATTCTCAAAAAAAAAAAAAAAATAAAAAAAAAAATCCATATTCCTATCGAATGTAGTGGTTTTAGGAATTCCATATAAACAAACATTCTCTTTAAAACATAAATCAGCAATATAAGAAGCATTTTCAGATTTATGACTTGGAATAAAGTGAGCTATTTTAGTAAAGCGATCCACTAATACCATAATAATATCTATGTGGTTTGGTATTAGGAAGTCTTATCACAAAATTCATATTGACATCTATTCAAGGAGACTTGAGAATAGGTGGAGTGTACAATCCTATTATTTTCTTCCTAGTTTTAGCTGTGGCACACTTGGTATCTTTGGAGGGATTTTTTGACCTCACTCTGAATAGATGACCACTAAAAATTTTCTTGTATGAGAGTAGTGGTTTTATCGCAATCAAAATTCTCCCTTAATCCCTTTTCATGACACTAAGCTAGTATGGCTTCTCTCAAAGAACAACGAGGGATACTGACTTGATTATAGAAAAATAAATATCCATCTTGAATGTGATAGAAATTATGGGTTCCCATTTGACAAAAATTCCACTTTTCTCCAAAATTTAAATCTTTAGGATAAATATTTTTTATTACTTCTAATCATATGACTTCAGCCTGAAGGATACTAAGAAGGGTATATGCTAACTCAAAGCATCTGCAACCTTATTTTGAATACCAGACTTGTATTCTAAAATGTAATGAAAAAATGAAAGAAATTATGCCCACTTAGCATATCTTCCCTTAAGTGTATTTTGACAGTGAAGGTATTTTAGTGCTTCATGGTTTGAATATAGGAGCGGATAAACTCATTAAATAAAAGATAATGATTTTAACTCTCTAAGACAGACAATCACATAAAATTCTTTGTTAGATTGCTTGCATTTGATCTCATTCAATTTTCACTAAAATAAGTAATTGGATGCTTATTCTGGCTTAACACGCACCAATACCTACATTAGAGGCATCATAGTTAAATTCAAAGATGTGGTTCAAATTAGGAAGGGCAAGGACAAGGGCGTTGGTGACTGTATGCTTAAGTTTTTTGAAATTAGATTGAGTTGCAGGTGTCCAAATGATTTTGTTTCCCTTAAATACTTTAGTTAAACGAACAATCATAGAACTAAAATTCTTAATAAAGTGTGAACAAAAAGACATCAAGCCATGAAGACTTAATACATTTATGAATAATTGGGGTATGGGCTAATCTAAAGTTTTTTGAATCTTTTCTTGAACCAAAATTTGAAAACAGTCTTCTGTTCATCCCTCGATTTCATTATAATTTGATGACATCCACTTTGTCAATCAATTTTGAAAAAGAAAGACACTCCATGTAATCGAGGGATTTGAAAATTGTATTTTATTATGATCTTGTTAAAATATTTACTATCTATACACACACCACGTGGTGTCTTTCTTTGGGTCTAATCAAGCAAGAACCGTGGTAGGGCCGCTCTCTTGAATTAGACCTTTAGCCAGTAGGTTTTCTACTTGGTTTTGTAATTCTTCATGCTCCTTTGATCTTTTTCGATTGACTAGTCGATGGAGAATAATGATAGGAAACACTTGAAGATCTCAAGTGAAAACCTATCAATCTTGAAAAAATAGTGGGAAATATCAACAAAACTTCGACGAAAAGTTAGAAAGTACTAATTTATTGCAATAATCAGAGATAACAGAAGGAAAATATCAAGATACATTTGATCCTCAATCCGAGAGGAGAATCTATCTCTCATAACCCCTAGATGCCGTTTGAGCCCAAGAGCACCACAATTAGCCACATGTATCTAGATGCCCTTGCCCTAATACAAACTCTTGCTTTAAGAAAATACAAAAATACCACAAAAGGACTAAACAAACCTCAAACAATTTAGCCCTAGGTAGTGAATCCCATCCCGGGGGGGGGGGGGGGGGGGGGGGGGGGCGAGATTGGAAGCTTGTAGACCAGCAGACTTGCGCCTGCTGTGTTGCAGTGGGCCGGCTGGATCGATCCACCCTGGAATGATCCAAGCGTATCAATACCCCGCTCCTAAAGAACTAACTTGTCCTCAAGGTGGTAGATGGGAATTGATGTTTCACCCTTTCGTAGGGCTCCCATATAGCGTCATAATCAGGAAGGTCCTTTCACTTGATCAATACTTCTTTGATCCCTCCCTCTCCCAAACATACCCCTTGTAGTTCCATGGGTTAGAAAATCACTTCAAAGTCTTCAGTTAATGCTGCTGGCTATGATGCACCAACATGCCTCTTAAAGAG